AAAAAACAATCCTTCTAAAACTTGTATCAATAAAAGCTCTTGAAACGATAAAAAAAGAAATTATTTACCATAGCTCAGGGCTCACCCCCCTTTTCTATGAAAAAAAGACAGAATCACCTAATTGATCCTTCGGAGGGAAGAGTTTGTCAGGAGGCCTCTAATCCTCCTATTACTTTTCCAAACGTGCAGCAAGAATGCCAGATTTTCCTAACGGAGTCAAAGCACATGCCTGGCTTTCTGCTTTCCTTTTGATAAATTAAAAAAAAAAAAAAAAAAAAAAGCTGGGGGTGTGGGGGGGCACGGGGACAGGACATGACTGGGCCAGGGAACAACCAGCCCGTGGATTTATTTTTTCTCCTTAATATGTGACTGGGCCTACTGAGCCCCAGGAGCCCCACGTGGAGATGCCAAGAGCGTCGGCGCTGCGGGCCCTGCACGGAGTGTCCGGGGGTCCCTCCTGCAGCCGCTGCGCTGACAAAAACCAGGTATTTCTCAGAGTTGAATTAAAAGGCACAAACTTTGCCCAGGCACAGCCCCGAGCTGCTGCATGCCCTCCTCTGCAAACTCCCGCTGCTCACATTTTCCTCCTGCCTTTTGAGCAAGTGTACGGTTTGGAGTTTCGTGCCCCCGCCGGCCTGGTGTTTTTTCGCCAGCACCCCAAAATTTGGGGGAGGTTGGAGAAAGAGAGGGGACCGCGAGTGGAGAAGGGGACAAAGTTTCACAGCTCTTCGGGCTGCCTGGGAAGCTGCCGCCCCTCTCCCTGCAATTCCTTGCCTTTTTCTGGACGGAAAGATCCCGGAGAGGCTTTCTCACCGGGAGAAAAAAAATATTCCAATTAAATTAATAAGAATAATGTAGTCAAAATCTCCTGCAGGAGGAAATAATCTGGGGTTTGAGTCCGCCACAAAGCATTTCCTCGTTAAACCATTATATCCTGCTAATTGAAGGGGTGTAATTCAGCGTCCTGCAGCAGCGCGCGGGGAAAAGGGGGGCCGGGGGCTCCGCGGGCGCACAACCGGGGGGCACCGCGGAGCGACGCCCCCGCCTGCGCTCCCCGCGCAGCCCCGTCCCGCCGCGAACGGAGGACGCAAAAGTTGCGCCGAGCGCCGCGGGGCCCGATCCGCGGGCGGGAGGGTGGCGGCGGGGACACGCGACACACGCGGGACAAGTTTGCGGGTGTCCGTGCGGGGGGACACACGCACGGTCC